GGACCGGGCGGGGGGTAAAAAAAAACCGAGGGGGGGTGGTCCCAAGGGATGGATGAACCCATGGGCCGGTTCAAATCCGCCCTTGGGGTCAAATGAACCGGCTGGGGGGTAAAAGAAACCGAGGGGGGATGGGCTCTTGAATTGGATGAACCCATGGGCCGGTTCAAATCCGCCCTTGGGGTCGAATGAACCGGGTGGGGGGTCAAATAACCGAGGGGGGATGGGATCCTCCTGGGTTGGATGAACCCATGGGCCGGTTCAAATCCGCCCCTGGGGTCCAATGGACCGGCTGGGGGGTCAAATAACCGAGGGGGGATGGGATCTTGGGTTGGATGAGCCCATGGGCCGGTTCAAATCCGCCCTAGGGGTCCAATGGACCGGGTGGGGGGTAAAAAAACCGAGGGGGGATGGGCCCAAGGGTTGGATGAGCCCATGGGCCGGTTCAAATCCGCCCTTGGGGTCAAATGAACCGGCTGGGGGGGTCAGAATGGCCGAGCGGGGATGGGCTCTTGAATTGGATGAACCCATGGGCCGGTTCAAATCCGCCCTTGGGGTCGAATGAACCGGCTGGGGGGTCGAATTACGGAGGGGGAATGGGCTCTTGGGTCGGATGAAACCATGGGCCGGTTCAAATCCGCCCTTGGGGTCAAATGAACCGGCGGGGGGGTCAAATAACCGAGGGGGGATGGGATCCTGGGTTGGATGAACCCATGGGCCGGTTCAAACCCGCCCCTGGGGTCCAATGGACCGGGCGGGGGGTAAAAAAAAACCGAGGGGGGGTGGTCCCAAGGGATGGATGAACCCATGGGCCGGTTCTAATCCGCCCTTGGGGTCAAATGAACCGGCTGGGGGGTAAAAGAAACCGAGGGGGGATGGGCTCTTGAATTGGATGAACCCATGGGCCGGTTCAAATCCGCCCTTGGGGTCGAATGAACCGGGTGGGGGGTCAAATAACCGAGGGGGGATGGGATCCTCCTGGGTTGGATGAACCCATGGGCCGGTTCAAATCCGCCCCTGGGGTCCAATGGACCGGCTGGGGGGTCAAATAACCGAGGGGGGATGGGATCTTGGGTTGGATGAGCCCATGGGCCGGTTCAGATCCGCCCTAGGTGTCCAATGGACCGGGTGGGGGGTAAAAAAACCGAGGGGGGATGGGCCCAAGGGTTGGATGAGCCCATGGGCCGGTTCAAATCCGCCCTTGGGGTCAAATGAACCGGCTGGGGGGTAAAAGAAACCGAGGGGGGATGGGCTCTTGAATTGGATGAACCCATGGGCCGGTTCAAATCCGCCCTTGGGGTCGAATGAACCGGGTGGGGGGTCAAATAACCGAGGGGGGATGGGATCCTCCTGGGTTGGATGAACCCATGGGCCGGTTCAAATCCGCCCCTGGGGTCCAATGGACCGGCTGGGGGGTCAAATAACCGAGGGGGGATGGGATCTTGGGTTGGATGAGCCCATGGGCCGGTTCAAATCCGCCCTAGGGGTCCAATGGACCGGGTGGGGGGTAAAAAAACCGAGGGGGGATGGGCCCAAGGGTTGGATGAGCCCATGGGCCGGTTCAAATCCGCCCTTGGGGTCAAATGAACCGGCTGGGGGGGTCAGAATGGCCGAGCGGGGATGGGCTCTTGAATTGGATGAACCCATGGGCCGGTTCAAATCCGCCCTTGGGATCAAATGACCCGGCTGGGGGGTCCCTAGGGTCAATCTTGGCATCCCATGAACGCATAAACAGGTTGCCCCAAACGATGGCAACCCAACGTAATCCATGCCATAGGCCTATTAATACCCCAGCAAAGGGGTATTTTTCCTCTCCCCATCATTCGGCCATGTGTTTTCGGATTGCCCCAAACGACGGTAACCCAACATAATCCAGGTCATAGGCCTAGGAATACCCTAGGGAAGTGGTATTTTTCCTCTCCCCATCATTTGGCCATATGTTTTCGGATTGCCCCAAACGACGGTAACCCAACGTAATCCAGGCCATAGGCCTAGGAATACCCTAGGGAAGTGGTATTTTTCCTCTCCCCATCATTCGGCCATGTGTTTTCGGATTGCCCCAAACGACGGTAACCCAACGTAATCCAGGTCATAGGCCTAGGAATACCCTAGGGAAGTGGCATTTTTCCTCTCCCCATCATTCGGCCATATTTTTTCGGATTGCCCCAAACGACGGTAACCCAACGTAATCCAGGTCATAGGCCTAGGAATACCCTAGGGAAGTGGTATTTTTCCTCTCCCCATCATTCGGCCATGTGTTTTCGGATTGCCCCAAACGACGGTAACCCAACGTAATCCAGGTCATAGGCCTAGGAATACCCTAGGGAAGTGGTATTTTTCCTCTCCCCATCATTCGGCCATGTGTTTTCGGATTGCCCCAAACGACGGTAACCCAACGTAATCCAGGTCATAGGCCTAGGAATACTCTAGGGATGGGGCATTCTACCACTCCCCATCACTTGGGTTTCGGTTCTTGATTGCCCCAAACAATCGTAACCCAACGCAATGCAGGCCATTGGCATAGGAATACCCTGCCTAGGCTTTGACCTTGATGGTTCGATCGATCCGGACCCGAATGGGTTCGATACGAATGGGGCCGGTGAATCCGGATCCGGATGGGTTCGATCCAAATGGGTTCGATCGACTCGGATCCGGATCGATTCCATCCGAATCGGTTCGATCGAACCGGATCCGGATGGGTTCGATCGAACCGGATCCGGATGGGTTCGATCGATCCGGATCCGGATGGGTTCGATAAGGATGGGTTCGATCGACTCGGATCCGGATGGGTTCGATACGAATGGGTTCGATCGACTCGGATCCGGATTGGTTCGATCGACTCGGATCCGGATCGATTCCATCCGAATGGGTTCGATCGAACCGGATCCGGATGGGTTCGATCGATCCGCACCCGGGTGGGTTCGATCCAAATGGGTTCGACCGACTCGGATCCGGATCGATTCCATCCGAATCGGTTCGATCGAACCGGATCCGGATGGGTTCGATCCGGATCCGGATGGGTTCGATAAGGATGGGTTCGATCCGAATGGGTTCGATCGACTCGGATCCGGATGGGTTCGATCCGAATGGGTTCGATCGACTCGGATCCGGATTGGTTCGATCGACTCGGATCCGGATCGATTCCATCCGAATGGGTTCGATCGAACCGGATCCGGATGGGTTCGATCGATCCGGATCCGGATGGGTTCGATCGACTCGGATCCGGATGGGTTCGATCGGCTCGGATCCGGATGGGTTCGATCGATCCGGATCCGGATGGGCTTGGGTCCGAAAGGGTTCATTTGATCCGGATCCGGACGGATTCGATCGATCCGGACCCGGGTGGGTTCGATCCGAATGGGTTCGATCGACTCGGATCCGGATGGGCTCGATAGGGATGGGTTCTATCCGAATGGGTTCGATCGACTCGGATCCGGATGGGTTCGATCGATCCGGATCCGGATGGGTTCAATTGATCCAGATCCGGATGGGTTTGATCCACACGGGTTCGATCGATCCGGATCCGGATCGGCTCGATAAGGATGGGTTCGATCGACTCGGATCCGAATGGGTTCGATCGATCCAGATCCGGATGGGTTCCATCCGAATGGGTTCGATCAAACCCATCCGGGGTCCGATCCGGATGGATTCCATCACTTGGGTTCCGGGGACTTGATTGCCCCAAACGACGGTAACCCAACGTAATCCAGGTCATTGGCCTAGGAATACAGGAGGGAAGGGGTGCTCTACCTCTCCCCAACCCTTGGCACGGGCCATCGGATTGCCCCAAACGACGGTAACCCAACGTAATCCAGGTCATTGGCCTAAGAATACGGGGGGGGGAGGGGTGCTCCACCTCTCCCCAACCCTTGGCACGGGCCATCCGATTGCCCCAAACGACGGTAACCCAACGTAATCCAGGTCATTGGCCTAAGAATACGGGGGGGGGGAGGGGTGCTCCACCTCTCCCCAACCCTTGGCATGGGCCATCCGATTGCCCCAAACGACGGTAACCCAACGTAATCCAGGTCATTGGCCTAAGAATACGGGGGGGGGGAGGGGTGCTCCACCTCTCCCCAACCCTTGGCATGGGCCATCCGATTGCCCCAAACGATGGTAACCCAACGTAATCGGGGTCATTGGCCTAAGAATACAGGAGGGGAGGGGTGCTCCACCTCTCCCCAACCCTTGGCTCGGGGCATCCGGTTGCCCCAAACGACGGTAAGCCAACGTAATCCAGGTCATTGGCCTAAGAATGCCGGAGGGGAGGGGCTCCTTACCTCTCCCCAACCCCTGGCATGGTGGAACCGATTGCCCCAAACGACGGTAAGCCAACGTAATCGAGGTGGTTTTCCTAAGAATACTGCAGGGGAGGGGTGCTCTACCTCTCCCCGACCCCTGGCATGGGTCATACGGTTGCCTCAAATGACGGTAACCCAACGTAATCCGGGTCATTGGCCTAAGAATACCGGAGGGGAGGGGTGCTCTATCTTTCCCCAACCCTTGGCATGTGGGCATAGATTGCCCCAAACGACGGTAAGCCAACGTAATCCGGGTCACTGGCCTAAGAACAACGGAGGGGAGGAGTGCTCTACCTCTCCCCAACCCTTGCCACGGGGAAATCGATTGCCCCAAACGACGGTAAGCCAACGTAATCCAGGTCATTGGCCTAAGAATACTGGGCGGGAGGGGTGCTCCACCTCTCCCCAACCCCTGGCATCTGGGAATCGATTGCTCCAAACGACGGTAAGCCAGCGTAATCCGGGTGGTTGGCCTAAGAGAATCCGGGGGAAGGGGTGCTCCACCTCTCCCCGAACCTTTGCAAGGGTCACTCGGTTGCGCCAAACGACGGTAAGCCAACGTAATCCAGGTGGTTAGCCTAAGAAGGTTAGGGGGAAGTGGCTTTTCACCTCTTCTCACTAATCTTTGGGTAGGACGGTTGCTTGAAAAGTCGGTAAGCCAAGGTAATCCGAGGCCTTTCCGTAGTAATAATTCGGGGAGAGGAGAACTGGCCCTCAAACCACAAGCAAGGCGGATTACCTAGGTATGAAGTCTAAGCTTGTCATGAGGTCCTATGAGGCACCGGCCCGGGCCACGGAGGGCGGCACTCTGTGATCCGGGGGGGAGCGTCCCGTGAGACGTGCGCATGGACTCTCTTCGGAGGGTTGGTGCGCACAGGCCCCAGCGGAGGGGGCGGGGAGCTCTCCAGGTGCGGAGGATCACCTGGGAAAATGGGGAGAGGAGGAACTGGCTCTCGAACCACAAGCAAGGCGGATTACCTAGGTATGAAGTCTAAGCTTGTCATGAGATCCTATGAGGCACCGGCCCGGAACACGGAGGGTGGCACTCTGTGATCCAGGGGGGAGCATCCCGTGAGACGTGCGCATGGACTCTCTTCGGAGGGTTGGTGTGCACAGACCCCAGCGGAGGGGGCGGGGAGCTTTCCAGGTGCGGAGGATCACCTGGAAAAATGGGGAGAGGAGGAACTGGCTCTCGAACCACAAGCAAGGCGGATTATCTAGGTATGAAGTCGAGCTTGTCATGAGGTCCTATGAGGCATCGGCCCGGGCCACAGAGGGCGGCACTCTGTGATCCGGGGGGAGCGTCCTGTGAGACGTGCGCATGGACTCTCCTCGGAGGGTTGGTGTGCACAGACCCCAGCGGAGGGGGCGGTAAGCTCTCCAGGTGCGGAGGATCGCCTGGTAAAATGGGGAGAGGAGGAACTGGCCCTCGAACCACAAGCAAGGTGGAATACCCAAGGAGGAAGGTTACTCTTTGGGTCCGCTCGGTCCCTACAAACTTCTTGACACTGGTAATATGCGGTCGGTTTCGTATCCCAATCCGCCTATGGCTAGGTGGCCCCCCCTCGTTGCGAGGCGGCGTCATTGACCCATGGGTTGGGGAGGGTAGGATTCAGGCTTATTGGAACCAGGGAAAAAGAGGAGAACCCAATCGGATCACTCCTCGCAAGGGGTCTGAACCAACTGGGTGCTCAACCACTGCCATAAAGAAGTTGATGTCGGTGCAACTTGCAAAACTCATATGCAGTGGTTGAGACGGTCGACTCTTTTTCAGGGGGAAAGCTCGAAGCTCACTTGAGGCCAAAAACCTGGAATGAGACCCATGTTGACTGTGGACGATCTCGGTCGGACGCAGGACGATGCACGGGTACCTGAACATGTTAGTAGGTCAAGGACGGTGTGTCCTAGAGTTTTCTTAACGTGGAATGACAATCGGAAGCATGGTGATGCCACGTGGGAGTTAATGCTTTCGTGGTGCATGGGAGAAATCGCCGGACTATTTCAGTTACGGTGGATGTCTCTAGCATCGTGTCTTTCCACTCACGATGAGATGGCTCGACCGCAATGTCGAGTCTGGGTTGGTAGTGCCTCTGGTTTGAGTGTCAGACTTCGGTTTGTCGCACTCGGTAGATGTAACCCAACTCGTATCTTATCGTGGCTGCAATGGGATGGCTCGGTGGCAACGCCGGGTTCTGTGCTGGTTGTTTCTCTGGTTTGAGCGTGAGGCCTCGGTCTGTAGCGCTCGGTAGAGAAACACAGCCCACTCACATCTCGTTGTGGAGGTTGAGGAAGCCCGTCTCCTTAGCCACTCGGATACGTGAAAGGCATCGCTTGCTCAAACTGGAAGCCAGTGTGTGGCATGTTAAAGTCCCGTACCCATAATCTAATAAACGAGCACCACACAAAAAAGGGGAAGGCGCTAAGAGTATGGAAAAAGGGTTGATGTTGCCCTTGGTCATGCCCCTAAAAGACAAGATGGAGCCCAAGTCGGGTACCCTGGGCCTAGCTGGCGGATACTGGGACACTGGTGGAACGGAGTAAAGCAAGCGTTGTCGAGTACCATATCTGAGCCCGATACGTAAGAGGGGCATACCGAACTGAGCCAAACGGCCACTGGGGCCCGAATCCCGGCTATCCAGCTTTATGCGGAGGTGGTTGAATCGGTGCAAGGCAACCAGCCGAAGTAACGAAGGGAGGTATGTCCCACTTGCTGTACGGCCTTGAGAAGGATGTGCTTGCGTCCTAGGTGGCATAAAAACCACCTAGGCACTAGCACGGAGCTCTCTTGGAATTGTCAAGAAATGAGACTGTGATGGGATCGGGTTGGCTTGTCCCGACGATCAGTGTGATGACTCTTCTTGGACGGGCTTGCCCAACCTCGGAGCATCTTGAGGAGCAATGCTGTTTGCTGACGCGTGAGGGGCCACTTCTTAAGCAAACCTACCAGTGCGGTAGGCGATCGGTTCGGTGCATCCTACTTCCTGTATAGTAGGCGGCGGGCACAAACCGGTCAGCGGCAGTGGTCAGAGCCGAGATGGGGAATTGGACCTATAGAGGATGCCCCTCTGGCCCATGAAACCCGGCTTATTACGACAGTGGGTCGATTGGGAAAGGAGCTCGAAAGTCCACCACGGTGTTCGGTGGCGCTCTGGAACCAGCCGATACGCACGTGTCAGACACGGCAATCAACGCAAGGCGATTG